ATGAGAATGTTTTCAAGACAATAAGCCAAGGTGAAGGCCTTATACAAATGTGCATTATTCTTATCCCACCTGTTTTGGGCATAATGGAAAGAATAAAAGTAATCTACAAAGAGTAATGGATTTAAATATGAAAAATTTGCTTTCAGGCCTGTGTATAACACTCAAGACTCAATGATATTGGTGGAGTGACCTGACCTCACTGTTCCCCCATTTGTTCATTTGTGAAAATGAGGGAACACCTGCTTCAACAGGAGTGCTGCGTATGTAAACAACAACTCAACAAAAGAAACAAGGAGGGATGGAAGTCCTTGGACTATCCAAAATGCCATGTAGCTCTTGGCTGTTTGCTATAATTATCCTCTAATATGCCAGTAGGAGTTTATTAATTTGGGTAACACTAGTGTGTTGGAAAAAAAATTGAATAAAAAAATCTTTAACTCTGGATGTCATTTTTATGACCCAGGTTGTAACAATAATAACATTTTAATTTTCCCAGGTTATAGAAATGCTTATACTGAAACATATAAATAAGCTTCCTAAAAAAAGGCATGAACTTGAAATGGAATCAAGCTTCAGAGGAGGTTATCACTGGGTGACAGGATTTATTTATCTTATACTGGTTGGAAGAACATCAAGGAGCAGCAGGATGGATGAGCAGAATGAGAAAGAATTTAGGAACAAGATAAATTTTGGGTCAGTGTGGGCTTCTTTTGGGCAAATTTTTTACCTCACCTAAACTTTCAGTTTTTTTTTTTTTTTTTGCCTATGCAATGGATAAAATAATGAGCGTAATGATACTTGTCTTGCAGGGTTAGCATGTGGATTCAGTTAAATTAGTTTAAATAATACAGAGTCCTGCAGCAGAACCTAATGCATGTACCCATGAATGTGTGTTGTTATCACATTTTCCCACAATTCCTTCCATACATACTTGCACATGTTGTTTGCCCATATTTTCCCTATTCCATTTCCGATTTGGATACTGTCCTTGTTGTGTAGCCTCCCTGTGTCTACCAGGGTGATCCTCACATGGAGGTATTTTAATGTAAACTCTATCTCGTGTCTATCTCCTTATAATAAAACATCCATTCTTTTGTTGTCTTTGAATTATTTTATTGATCCTGCAAAGGGGTCCTATTGAACCTAGTACAGAGATGCGTAGGGATCCTGTGACCACTGCAGACCCTAAGAGTCACAATAATAGGGGAAGAACACTCTAACAAGGAAATTCAGAGAGCTTCTCTGATGTTCTTAACTCCACTTCTTCAGAACTATATGAAAACACAATATTCAGTGAAAAATGTCACTTTTTATTTTCCTGGATGAAAAAAAAATGAAGGTTTTCTGAATGTTATTTCTATGTTGTATGTTGCATTTGAATGTTGTATGCATAGGGGTGTGTGTGTGTGTGTGTGTGTGTGTGTGTGTATGTGTGAGAATGTTAATCAACTTCCTTTTCTTTTGCATTTTAGCCTTTCTCCAACTTCTTTTAAATAGAGTTTTGTCTCTTTTTGGCCTAGTGAAGTCCTATTCATCCAGTTAAATGCTACTTCCTCTGGGAATTCTCAGATTACATAAGACCCCTCTCTTCCCACTCAAAAAACAAATGGAGTTTATCTTTTCCTTGTATATCATAGTATTTTGTTGTTCTATTAGGTGTCTCTGCAATCAAGGTCTATTCCTTCCACATGTTCCCAACATATAGCACCATGTTTGTAATACAGTTGGCACTTGTATGAATTTTGGTTTAAGGTGTGGTTGATTAACCCTGATTTCGTCTTATTTCTTGTAGGTTCTTTCTTAAGGTTTGCAGTATGTGACAATGTGGTACTATTTTAAGAGTTGGGAAATGGGTTGAAATTGGGTTGAAGTTGAAGACAAGCCTCTTATTTCCTGTTTCCATCTTTCCCAAGTTGTGTTACTAATTTTTAAGTATATCACAGAAACCTCCATTCCAATTTCATGAACAGTATTCTCTCAACATCACATTAGGAAAAGAGTAATTTGAAATAATTCTTAAACAATACACAGAGTACCTTGCAATATGTTGTAGCTACTTTTCTCAGAAAAATCATAGGGGATTTTTTTTTGATATTTTCTTTATCTGCATGGTGACTTATAAGGCATATTTAAGAAAATTCTATATTAAGGGACAGAGATTCCAATAAAGCCAGTCAAAACTTTATTAAGTTAATAGTATGATCAATTCCTGGAATCTCAAATTCTCCATCCCTTTAATTCATGCAGTCACATCAAATGTCCAGTGTATGTATATATATATATATATATATATATATATATATATATATATATATATTACTGTTTAAAGCCTTTCAAATACTCTGTGTACAGTCACAATGATAATTCAAAAGTAAAATAAACTGACATTCCCCACCACAAAGATCCTTGAAGGAAATGGAAAACAAAAACCACATCTTTGTTGAATCTAGTTTGCTTATATTTCAACACACATAATTCCACTGAACTGGCCATCACAGCAAAAGCCACAACACACACACACACACAGCAGCATGGAGCTAACCACACAACTCAACAGACAGTGCAGACAAACTTGAGTATAAACCAAGATTTTTCTACCTCTTTTCATAACAGGTTAGTGCTGGCCCTCAGTGTTGGTGTACAGTTTTTATGGCATGGGAAAATAGGGATGTTTCTGCCCTATAAAAATAAATGTGTTGAAGGCTTTAGTTTGAGCTTATACAATGTCAGAAAGTTCCAAAGGCACTGGCACAATACAAAAATAAATAAATAAAAAAGAATCCCACAAACAAATATATATCACCAAAACACATCGCAAGGAACTAAGAAAACTCTAGTGGGAAAGCTACTGGTTTCCTGAATGATTTATGCAAACACCTTCATGAAAAATAAATAACAGGAGAGGCATGCTAGCAGGTCTGTGGTGGGGCGTTATCTTGTCACCAACCAACATTCGTGTCAAGTCTTTGACTTTAAAATGCATATAAGATCTTTTTCTCCCCGCAGAGGTAGAAAGCACAGAACATTTGTTCTTTTTGCAGGGGTTGGGGAGTATTACTGGGGATTTAACCCAGGGAACACTTAACCACCTTTTTTATTTTCAGACAGGGTTTCATTAAGTTGCTCAGGGCCTCATTAAGTTGCTGAGGCTATTCTCCAGTTTGCGTTTCTTCTGCTTCAGCCTCCCAAGTCATTAGGATTACAGGTGTGTGAGCCACTGTGCCCAGCAACACTTCTTGTCCTTAATATTTTAAGCCTAAGGAAGAGCTAAGGTAAGAATGTAGAAATGCATGCATTATCTTTAATAAGGAAAAGGATACATGGAACAAAAATATAAAAAAAATATTCTTAGTTCCTTCATTTTATATATCATAATGCACACTTCTTTCCAAATCTTAGTCTGACACAAATTGTAGTTCATGCGTGACATCTTTATCTACTCTACAAAGGGCTGGGACAGAAAGATAAGCATGAATTTCTGTATTTGAATAAAGGCAATACTTTTGCTTTTACATCTTAGAATGCATGGTTGGTAATGGCTCTAGAAATAGGAAAGCTGCAAAAATTTCATTGGACTTAATGATTTGTAATTCCTCGAAAAATAAAACTTACCACATTCTGTGCAAATTTCTCAAAAGATGTTCTGCGATCCATTGAGTTTCCAGACTTATATGTGTGGGTTGGGGTAGGGTGAAGGGAAGTAAGGGAACATTAAAAAAAAAAAGCAGCAAGAAAAACAGAGCAGAAAAAGACAGAATGATGAAATGATGCAATGTTAAGTCCATATTCTGAATCACAGGCCCCCGAAGGTAGGAGAGTTGCCAAAGGAGGCCTTTGGCCACAGGATCTGGGCACTGTTTTCATTAGTGCTTTTATTTTAAACACCAAAAGCTCTTATGCAAACAAAATGGTATGATTCCAAGTAAAATCAAATTAAGCAAATATGTGAAGCTTTTATGCAGATATTTGCAAAGCTTAAGTATTCAAAAATTTCATGTTATACATTTGGAATTTTCTCATAATTTTCTGTCAAGGCTAAATTTTTGTAGATAACATTATTAAATCTGTAAAGCATTGCTGTAGAATAGACCTTTCCATAAGGATGAAAACTTTATTCAACACTGCCTGATAAAACCTTTAGCTTTGGTTATTGAACACTTGATATTTGGCTAGAATTTTATGGAATTTTATTTAATTAAAATTAAAATTTAAACAACTCCATGTGGTTAATGTCTGCTGTATTTGGACAGGGCACACAGAATATCTATTTCCAGATGCAAAACAATGCACTTTAAAAAAATCTCATTAGACTAAATGCATGAATTACACAAAAAGTATAATTTAATCTCAGAAGTTCAATAAGTTATGGACTATTTTAACATTAAAAAGCAATGAATAATGTTTATGTTTATGTTGTATACTCTTTTATATTGATCACATTAGGACTTATGAACAGTAAGACTTTGATTAGAAGCATTAATTGAATAATGAGGTCTCTCTCCATATGTGCTTGGCTACCATCTTAAAATGTGTAAAATTTATCACAGGGATACTTAGTAATTTGGAATAAATGCCAAGAGACAATGAAAACATAACTACATTTTGGCAGCTATCATTGAAAAAAATAGGTCTATTTTTAGTTGTGAACATGCATTCAAGCTTTCCAAATAAAGCCCTTTTCAAATTTTTGACCCTGTTCCTTTATTTATTATAATATTTGATTTCCTTAAACTAGGCATGTAGAAGATTAACATGAAACATGAAAACAGTTTCTAATATATTTTATAAAGCAAGAACATCTGCAGAAACAAACAAAAAATAATACAATAAGCAACCAACCAACAAAAACAAAAACAACTTAAATGGCCCTTATAAAATGAAAGGATTAGGGGAGGGTCTTGAAGTATGTTCACTTACCATTAGTTTGATACCCTGGGCCAAGCAGAGGCAATTAGTCCAAATAATTATAACTGAGAACTAGCTCAAGAAAGAACCAATACCTTTTTCTTTGCCTGTAGAAGTTCCTGATAGGCACTGGATCTTATAAAACGTGGATATGAATCACTTTTCATCAGTTTGTAAATATGCTCCTAAAAAGAAAAAAATGGTTGAGGTGCTTTTTTATTATTTTTCAAGAAAAGTGAAATATTACGATAAGAACATAAAATGTGGTTAAAGAACAAATTTAGTGGCAGCTAATCATAGTAATGACAATGCTAATGAAAATACCTATGTTTACAGGACATTTATATCTTCCGATTCATTATTTGATTCATGGATACATGTTTTAATTGGTTTGGGAGCTACTGAGGAGGAAAATCATATCCAAGTCATGCTTTTTTAAAGATGGAATCTGGTTAATGGTTAATGGGAAGTAATGAAATAACTTCGAATCACATTGTTGATTTATACCTAGCACATTTGAGAATATAAATAAGTCTGCTATCTTTTAAAATTACTCCAGGCCAGAAGCAGATGTTGTGAAGTCAAGACTGAGTAATCATCCTAGATACCTTTGGCCTCCACATTTACTGGGAGGATACAGACAGTCCAGATGAATCATTTCCTTGGTACAAATTACATGGAAAGTTGTCATCCATACCTACTTTGGGTCAGAGCTCAAGTCCAAAAAAAATTTTTTTTGGTGATACTAATTGCTAAGTCTCCAAATTCATTCTCTTTTTTTCTCACCCATGCATAGGAAGATTAGGTAAATATCAGATCACTCATCTGCAATAAAACTGCAATGTTTGATTTTGGTTTTCTTTTTCCAGTTCTAGGCAGCAAATGCAGGGCCTTTCAAATGCTAGGCAAGTGCTCTACCACCAAGCTACACTCCCAGTACCCATTCTATTTTAGTGATGAATGCTGGAAGAAAAAGAAGTCAAACAAAGAAAAATTGTATTCATCTGATTCATACTTGATCTATTCCTGGATGATTCTGCTCTGGTCTGTTGTAATTCAAGAAAGATTAAATGCTCCTTAGTCTTCCCAGTCTAGAGAAATATCAGTCAAATATATAAGCTATTTGAGAGTCACCTGGATGTCTGAATCTTTTCTTTGAAGAAAATACATATTTTAAAAAATGACTCGTTTGGTCTTCATTTAACACACCAGTAATAATTTGAAGTTATTCAGAAATCACTAAATGACTGTCATGATTAAACCTCAAGATCTAGCCAAGGTCAAGCTTTCAGAACATGGTAAATTTGGAAGTGTATTGGAATTTATTTAAAAGTAGAATAATTCCTGGTTTTGAAGTTAAGCATTTGGGGATTCAGATCCTGCCTTTCTTAAGATCAATCACTTATAAACAACTTCAATTTAAGATCAATTTATTCATTTCTCCAATTCTTAATTCTCTAATTTATAAGATAGTCTTGTTATGAGGATTAAAGGAATGATAAATGCTTAGCAGAGTTTGGGGTATGCACAACAAATGCTCAAATACACATAAGCATAGGCCAGGGAATCTTCTAGCAAGCACAGGCCTATGTTAGTTAATTTAATCCTCAAAAAGCCTGAAAGAGGTTGGTGACCAATATTATGTCCATATAAGACATGAAGAAACTGAAGTGTGGAGATGTGCAATATTTCTAAGATGTCACCCAGCAGAGTTCAGATCAGGACCCAGGCAATTTAGCTCCAGAGTCTTCATTGTTAACCATTACATCACATGTCTTCTCGCATAATAGCAGAAACTTCTAGTATTACATCTCAACAACAGGATAACACACATTTGGCTATACACACACACACACACACACACACACACAGGAGTTAAATATCTGAGCTTAGTTGGGAAAAAAAGTAGACTCTTAAGATCTGGTAGTAATGTTTCCTATAGATGAATATTCCTTTTCATTTTACTGGGGATTCTATTAAGGAAGAATATTTTTCAATGACACAGATAACAAAGAAATGTTCTGTTTAAGACTTCAAGAAGAAAAAAAAAAGACTTCAGGAAGGGCATTCCAAACATTTTACACATTTTATAGACAAATGTCCACATTTTATCTTGAACCTAAAGAAAGATAAATCACAAGGGAAGTGATCATTAGGACCAGAATTTTCATTCTGCTCTCTGTCATGTGTCTCTGTGAAATGTAATTATTTTTACAGAGGAGACCATGGCTGAGACATGTGGGATGGGGGTGTTCAGTTAGTTGTTAAAATTTGTGTTATTTTACTACACATTGGTTCATTTCTTTAAACTAGAGCCAAGAAGAAAGTTATTTTCTACCAAGAATAGAAATAAGGAAGAACATTTGTGTATCTTACTATCAGTTCATTATGTTAGTAATATTAAAAACAAGAAAATTTTCAGAGCTAATATTCATTTTAAAAGAAGTAGGGGCCATGAGTGTGACTCAATGGTAAAGCACTTATTCAGAATGTGCAAAGCCCTAGGTTCAATGCCAGTAGTGCCCCCCTCCCCCAAAAGAAGAAGTTACAAAGCATACATGTTCTTATTTTTCAGTTTTCTTTCTAAGCACCAATACTTTTCTGGAGGAAGTAGAAATTCTAATTAAGGTTCAGAGAAGAGAACACCAAAAATTTATCTTAGAAGTTAAAATCAATTTCCTTTTTTGTAGACGGAAAATTAGCAAATGCCTGATCTCTTATTTAATTTTTTTCAACAAAGACAAAATTTGTTTGACAGAAGGTTAAGCAAATTTTGAAATGACCATTCATAAATACTGAATAATCTAGGCATGTGAGAATCTCAAAATCTCCATATTGAAGACACAAAAACGTATGGTACCAAGGTGGGGGTCACCATTAATGTTTGCTGAAATACTGGGTACCAAATAAGGAAGAAAATAAAGTAAAACTTTTCAAATACTTCAAGTATGTTTCTTCATGAAATTTTCTTATAAAAACCTATTCAAATTTAAAAAAAATTCCCAGGATTTAAAAAAAATAGTTACTTTAAAAATACATTTGTTCTTTTCTAGATCAGTGACAGTTATTTTGCATATAACCACCTAAATTGAAAATATTTAAAATAACTGCCAACAAGAATGAAAATAAAATGAAAGTTTCACCACTGTCCATGTCCAGGAGAGCTTCTGTGACATGAGGCCTGTTGTGTACCAACCTGAGCATCTTCGAATGTGTATCGTCCAGGTTCCTTCACGTTCTGTGTGGTTTTGTCATAACTCTTGGAATCCAGATTGATGGCACTGGGGGCTCCTGGAGCCAGAAATTCTTGCCATATTTCCTGAACTCTCGAGGGCACTTCTCGAATAGGCCTTTTCTTCAGGTCCTCCACTGCTAGCCAGAATCTATGCAAAATGTGACACTGAGCTTTTACTTCAATGGTTTATAATCTGAAAAATTCTTGTAATATTTACTCATCATAAACCTCATCGTGATTCCTAATAGAAAATTCACTTTCTGAGGGATTGCAATATTAGACCTATATTGGCTTTTCCCCATAAGTTATATGCAAAGGTAAAAATTTTCTTTGAAAAGAAATACAGAAAACCTCTTAATTGATTGTGATTAGAACCAAATCTGAGCTCTAACATTATTGAAGCAACGTAGCACTTTTAGAGAAGCTTTTATTAGAAAGGAAGAGGAACTGGGCTGGGGATATAGCTCAGTTGGTAGAGTGCTTGCTTCACATGCACAAGGCCCTGGGTTCAATCCCCAGCACCGCCCCCCCACCAAAAAAAGAACTTGATTTCTGGTTGGGGATGTGGCTCAAGTGGTAGCACGCTCACCTGGCATGCGTGAGGCACTGGGTTCGATCCTCAGCACCACATAAAAATAAAAAATAAAGATACTGTGTCCACCTAAAAAAAAACTAAAAAAATAAATATAAAAAAAGAAAGGAAGAAAAACTAGAAGGGAAGGTGTGCTTACAGAGCTTCTAATGGGGGGTTGTGTTTAAAGTAGTATATTATTCTGTATTCTTTGGATCTTTAGTCCATTTCAGGAGAGGCATTCCTGCTCTACTTGGTAGGGAAATTACCACAAAGCTTTCCTGGAATTAAAAGAGGCCTGGACATAAAAAGAGAAAATGCTCCAGCAGGAAATATCAGGTAATTAACTAATTTTAATATATGAGTTACAGAGTGACAGCGCAACAAGCTTTTCTATGCGATTGTTTGAAAGACTTAAATTTGCAGAGGCATCAGAGCAATTTAGAAGCCAGAAAAATACATACTGGTTTACTTCTGAATGTATGTTTATATAGAGAACATTTATGCTGAAGGAACACTGAAGTATGTTATGGCTGAAAAAAGCAAATAGCAAAGCATAATAAGAAGGTGTCATGATGAATTATGGGTTTAATTTTTAAAAAGTTTATCTAGGTTATTTCAGTTAGATCTAGAAATAATCTTGAAAAGATTAAAGTTCATATTGCAATAATTTGTAAATGGAAAAAAAATATGTGATAAAGGAACTGTGAGGCTTGTTATCCCCAACAGGCACAATATCATTCTACTGATATATGTGAGCATGAAATGGAGAATCCAACTACAGAAGTGGAGGAAATTTAGGCTGCAGAGTCAGGAGAAGCACAAAGTGATACGCAGTACCTTCCTCTCTACTAAATTTTAACATGGGCATTAATGAAAGGTCAGAAATCAGTAAAAAGTCACTTGAATTACAATTAAGAGTATCAAATACTACTCAGACTATTGATTTTTCAGTTTTCATTCCCCTCTTGTTTTGTTACAGAGATAATCCAATGTGGACAAAGCCTTAAATATGAAACAGCCATTATTACTTTCAGAAAGGAAGGATCAAGACTGTGAAGTCCTATAGGAATACCATGTACAATCTGAGGCTGCATGAGTGTTGGAATTGACGCTCATTTAAGCTGACTTCAGCATATTTTGAAGACATCAATCAAAAGAAAGTCTCAATCCTCAAAGTACTAGTAGTGAAAAAAGACCACTTTAAAGGCCAGAATCCCAGGAAGCACATGAGAATCTCTTAGGAAGAGTATAGGCCAGACAGTCTTGGAATGCTGAGCAGGAAGAAACCCCAATGCTAAGGCTAGCACACGGTTGTAAAAGTGGGGTGTCTAAGAAAACTCTTTGAGATATAGTGACATCTGAAATGAAATGGACCTGGAAATAAGGAAAAAACTGTGAAAGTGTAGAGATGTTGGTAATAGCACGTACACTGATACGGGATACAGGTACTACGTACCTGTTTACCATATACTTATCAATCTGTATCTTCAACTAGTCCCCACAACTCCATAAACTAGGTGCTATTATTTCCCCCACGTTAGAAGAGGAACTGAGCATATGAAGATTAAGTAATTTATTTAAGCTTGTCCTCCATTAGTGGTATAGCTGAGGTTTTGTTTCTGGAAAATCTGTAGCAGATGTCAGGCTCATAACCACTCCTTCTCACTGTCTCCCTAAGAGCATCATTGCCTTTCTTATCCCCATCAATGCTGTAATTGTTTTAATAGCTTAGTAGAATGGAACAGGCTCATTTAAAATCCTACATTTTAAATTTAATAGTAGCTGGAATCTAAGGAGACTTTTTAATGTCTTTAAGTGAAGTCTTGCTTTCCTCCTCAATAAAATGGAATAACAATGCCCATCTCCGTGAAGTTCCATTGGATTAAATTATATAAATTTATGTAAAGGCCACTGACAAATGCCAGGTATATTTTTAGGCACATAATGATAAAATTTATGCTATTTATATATTTCTTTAGCATGTGCTTTATGCTAGAGCTCTGCCTGAAAAGGGAATGAACAAAACACATATCAGTAGACAGCAGAGGGTGTATTTAAGTAACATGTGGTTATGGATAAGCAGGGTTTCTTCACTTTTTTACTGTTCTAATGTTTGAAGAAAAAGCTCATGTGACTGGCACATTCCCATGAAGGGTAGGTCCCTAGAAGGCTGCTGCTGCTTAGAAAAGATGTACTTAAATTTATTTAATTCATAGTCCTCTTGGCTAAGTGGACCCTGGCATGTGATTCAGATAGTAGGTGAAAGCAGGGTGGGACTCAGATTTGGGAATCAGTGGACAGTAGCTTGGTAATGGTTTATTAAAAAAAACCACGAATGCTACTTACATGCAATATGAGTTTGCATAAAACCAGCTCAGACATATTTTGTTTCTCTCTAAATTGAGGCAATAATACTTACATTGTTGGGATTATTAGATGTGTGATGATCAGAAATAATGAAAGGCAAATAAATGTAGCATAATATGATTCATAGAAGTAGCAGATATAAAACATATTCTGGTGTATGTTAGGTGTTCGAAATTCTGTTTGCAGTTATATCTTTCAGTAATTCATTTATCTATACTTAACAAGGAAACATGATAGGTATATAGTAGATATTCAAGGAGTATATACATATGTGTATACATACATAAAAATATTGACTATTTCTTATATGTAATTATTTAGTATGGAAATCAGTATAGCATGGAATTAAGACAAGAAATAGTTAAGGCTTGATTGAACTAAGGAATGGGCAATGATTCAATTCATGTGTGAAGCAGAATATTCACATGGTACTCTCTTTTCTCCAGAATTTCTTCCTTCTTCCTTTCTTGCTTGGTTATCTTCTTATCAACAGCTGTCAGCCTGGAAGATATTTCTCCTACTATGCCTTTGCCAACGTCTAACTCCAGGTTAGGCATTCTCCAATACTTCTCCTATCTAAACATCCATCATTTTGTGTTGTGACTGGGCAATGCTGGTAAGGCATGTTACTTATTGCCTCATCACAAATAATTATAATGTCATTATATTTTCAAAAACTTAGAGCAAAATTCACCCTCCCATTCTCTAATATTCCAAAAATATCCTTTTTTCTTTATTTTGTATACATTCTTGCTTCAGTAACTAGTAATATGACTTAGATATACTAAGTATTATTAGCAGGCCCAATAAAACTATAATTGCTAAACTTCAGGTCTTGCAAAAGCCCGGCCAGAAAGGATTCCCATAAACTTGAGCAAGAATTGGAAAGTGCTTCCCAACAATGCGTGACAGCACTCATAGAAAATTCCAGATTCTGTTTGTGGTCATTCTGCTCCATTCAAGAGACATCTGTCAATGTTCTACATATTTCTGAATGGTTTGTTATCAATGTTCTACATATTTCTGAATGGTTTGTTATTAGTATCTGTTAAATCTCCTGAAAAGAATGTGACAATGCCTGGCACTGCTTAGTTCCAAGGAAAATAGATGAATTTCACAGGACTCTGTAAGTCATGGGAAAGTAAAACTAAGGTATGAGGTTTCAAAAGGATAATGAATAAAAGAACGCATGCAAAAAGAGTTTCTTGTAGTGAAAAGTTATTACTCATTTAAATGATCTTAAATAGAACTATTAAAATCCACTCTAATGTCTCCTTTTAAGAAATGATATTTTCAGGTGCCCTTTAAATTAGAAAATTTAAAAATACATAAGGATGATGTTTACAACCAATGAGCAGAACACATGTCTTGTCTAACTAACAGTCTTTAGGGCTCTTACCTGTTGTGAAGCTGTATTTAAATGAGCAAAGTAAATGAGCTGCCCTAGAGCTTTGTCTCAAAATATTTGACATAGTGTTGACTCCTTTCTCCAACTTACTTGAGAAGTTATACTCACAGAAGGTCAGTACTGATAAATAGGTGATATGTTTTAACAGCATAAATACCATTGGCCATTCTCCACTTCACCAAACATGGCTCTAAGTGCTACACTTCTTTGTAGAGTTCATTTCACAAGTACTGAACTTATACAGTTAAAAATCCAGAGACAATGTAAAAGTCAGTTATTGTGAGGAACTGATAATACTGGACAGCTTTTGTCTTTTCCATCCCATTAGATGGCAGAAATTCAATGTGTTCATAACATCATTATGATGTTGGCAGAGTGTAATTGGTTTCGTGAGTCCAAAATAACGCAACATCAGAGAGAGTGTTGCTCTGGCTTGTGGTGTAAGAATCAAGCAGTGTATCTTACCTTAAGTTTTCTGAGCTGAATTCTGACTCTAGAAATTTAAGGAACTGTTCTCTCCCAACTGGGTCTTTCAATGCCTCATCCATGCCAAAACCCCATCGTTTTACCCTCTGTTGGCTCGGTTCTTTGCTATAGAAGATAAAGCCAAATATAATCCTTTCAGTACAACTACTACTTTCTGTTATTAGGTTTGTCCTCAAAATCATGTATGCTTTAAAATTCCATTTCTTAACTGATCATTCAGAAGAAAAATAAGTATCTGATTGATGGTTCTTAATAAAATCATGGTGTATTATAAGTAACATTAATATCTAACATTTATTAGGTGAATTAGGTGCTAAGTGGTCTAAATAAATTATCCTATTAATTTTTTTCCAGTACCTTTATAAGTACATTCTTCTTCTTCCCATTTTATAGATGAGGAAATGAAGGCATGAAGAGAGTTATAACTTTCCAATGTCAGACAAGTAACAAGGGGCAAATATCCAGACATTCTTGTATTAGACCCCCATTTCTTAACCACTAACAAATGCATAATGGGGGAATGTGCTGGTGGTGTGTGTGTGAAATGCACATGTATCCAAAATGACATACCAATGTATAACTCTGCTGTAATTAAACATGTGACCTATTCCTGGTGAGTCATGACTTTTGGGGATTCCAGGTTCCTCATATGTAAAATCTATAACTTGTGGCTGAGGAGTCTGGACTCATCGAGTGTTTAAGATCCATGGCTGGATATGGAAGAAAAAGAAGGTCCATAATGCAATCTTGAAAGGGGTTAGAGTACTAATCCTCTCTGTATAAAGAGACATGCAATGATCTTTGCATGACTGCCCAAATGGATATAGTATGCTTCTCCTATGGAGTCTTCAATTGTGCTTTAGTTTTCTTAAGTCAGTTTGTTTTTTAGTGTGTTCATGGTGAGTTCATTTTGTTTTAAAGCTGAATTTATAAAGGTCTACTTGTATTAAGCTTAATTAAGTAAATAGGGATTTAGCATTATTTTGCTTGAATACATGGGCCTTTTTGGCTATGTGGATTTTCAAAGAAGCTAACAGCAATGAGCTAAATTTCAAGAACTGAAGATTTGAAACCTGACTAATCCAGCTAGAAACCTGTACTTCTAATTTTATAGCAGTGCAAATATTTTTTAAAATTAAATTTATTTTTATATTGATACATAAAAATATGAACAATTATACATATTTATTAGAGTACCCCATGATATTTCAATACATGTATATATCATGTAATGTGTAAATCGGGGTAAACATCTATTTCATCAAATGTTTATCATGCCTTTATGGTAAATACATTCAGAACTCTTTATTTTGCTTCTAAGAGATAGTACATAATTTTTATCTATAGTCACACTACAGTACATTAGCACACTCAAACTTATTTCTATGTAACTATAACTTAGAACCTGTTGGTGAACCTTTCCTGACCCCTTTTCTCCCCAGCCTCTTGTAACCACCATTCTCAACTTCTCAAGTTCCATAAGATCAACTTTTTTTTTTTTTTTAATTTCACATATGAGTGAGAACATACAATACTTTTGTTCCTATGCCTGGCTTATTTCACTTAACACATTGATCTCCAGTTCCAACCATGTTGTCATGACTGACAGATTCCATCCTTTTTTTATGGCTGAGTAGCATTCCATCAACAATGCAAATCTCAATGCCAAAGCAAATGCCTGGGTTTGAAAACCTCAAGCAATATCTTGAATGATAATGTTAAATCATGAATCAAATGTAAAGAGTAAAACCATCATTATAATTAACCAATTACAGGGTTCTTCCTGTTTCACAAAGTCCCTGAAATAAGTGACATATCTGTGAGGAAAAGAAAATGTCACTTACCTTGCTTCAAGTTCCCAGAAAGTAGTATCATCAGACAGCCATGGATTAGAAGGGTCAGGTGGCACAAGAAATGGGTCGTATTCTACATACTGTTCCGTATAACTTAGTAGACTAGGGAGGAAGAAAAAAAAAATTTCCTCAGTTTTTCTGGCTGAAGTTATACCCAGTCCAAAGAAAGAGAAGCAATATAAAAATTCTGGGCCAAAGAGTCCTTTCCCAATTACAGAATAAAGCCCAATGGCAATTTTCATGTTTCAATAACATGCACGCAACAACTCATTGGGCTTTTTGGTGGACAAATTTAGTTAAAGATTCCTGTCTTTATCTATCCCACACCTGAGCTATTAAGTCACTACACTTCCATTAAAATGAAGCAACATGGAAGAGGTCTGCATGTTGAAGGGCAGCAGTAAGGGTCTGTTCCAATCCTTTGTTAACCAGGAAAAGGGATTAAAAGGAAATCATTGCCAAATTTAATTACAGGAATGAGGCAAAAGGAGAATCACTGACAAAAATATACTTTTAGAAAACATTTACATTTGTTTGGTCATGATGGCACACGCCTGTAATCCCAGCAACTTGGGAGGCTGGGGCAGGAGGATCACAAGATTGAGTTAGCCTCAGCAACTTAGCAAGACCTTTAGCAACTCAGTGAAATCCTGTCTCAAAATAGAAATAGCGAAAGGTCTAGGGATGTGGCCCAGTGGTTAAGCACCTCCTGTTAACTGACCCCCTCCCCAAAAATCTGTGTTTAAAAACTGAAGGAAGAAGAAAGAAAATAAGTCGGAGAGATAGGTTTTGGCAATGCCCCAAAGTGAAGAATTTGAATTTCATTAAGAGTAGATTTTTAAACAGAAAAGACAAATCTAAAATCTGAGATTAATTCAAATTCTGAAACCATGCAATAACAGAGTAGGCTGTGAATGTTCAGATCAATTTATAGAGTCTCAGAGTTGCCAAAAAACAGTCAGTAAATTAAGGTTCAATTCTTTGAGTAGAAGTGAAAAGATTTAACTCCTTGGCTGTATCCTCTGTATCTTATTGTTGATTGTACAAAGATAGAACCTCTTGGGATTTAAAGCAATAATGATCATGCTTCCCTTTAAACTGTAACAAATGAATGCTTTGAAAGCTTTCTATGTGTATAAAGCAAATACAAAAACCAATTATTTATCTTAGTTCCCCTTCCAACAGTTGGTTCTTACTACATATTTAACTGTCTCATGCAATTTTTAAATTTACAGAGACATCTTGAAATACTTACCTATCAGCAACTTTTGACATTTTTAATCGATGTCTGTCTAACTGTATTTGCCAATATTTTATCTGAAAAGAAGGTTAGAGAATTAGTTACACAAATGACAACACCACAGTTTTCACCTCTAAATTCTCATAGGGCAATTCCAAAAAGGTGTATATCCTGTCAGTAAAATTTCAAAGTTGACGAATGCAGAGCACTCTGAATAGTTAACAAAAAATGAAAATGTATTTGAATGTAAACATAACCATATATCTTAAGAACAGCACAGTTTGAATATTTTACTTACTTTAACAAAATGTAACTTTATTAGAAAAGTGTTCTGGAGTTTTTAAACATTAATTCAAGGTGAATAATCAAATCCATTCCCCACAGATATTTAATTAAGAAAATAAATGTATTTTTTATTTTTTACTATAATTTCAAAATAAATCCTATCTCCTGAGACTATCCCAAGAAAGCATCATTCAGATGTGTTTTGAGAATAATTTTATGAAATTATGACACATGCTTACATGGATGTAAACACATAGAGAAAAACTATAAAATTTTTTCTGAATTGTTTTTCCTTTATGGTGCTTATAAATACACTAGAAAATTCTAAATCACATTATTAATGAACCATACTATAACAAAATAATAGAAGAGTCCAAAATGTGGAGGAGGAACGATGATTAAACCAATCAAGAAATTTAATTATTACTGGATATTAGAAATTGATGTTTGCTTTGAAATATTTATTTTGAAGCAAAAACTATTGATCAATGATTTTTAAAAAGAAGCAGTATATACTATGATTGTATACCAGTGTTGATAAGAAAAAACTTCCAAAGGTTTGAAGACATCAGTACCACACAAATAAAAATCACATTTTTTTTTTTTGTGATGATAACTTAGCAACATTAGATATGGGACTTAATGTCCCCAATCTCTTGTCCTCTCATTAGCAACTTCATTACATTTTTACTTGCAAATATTCTATATGAAATAGGTGACCATACAAATTACCTTTCAAAATACCCATTATGAACATTTGCTATCTGGTTGCATAGTGAATGTTAATAATGATAAATAATCATTTGAAAGTCATTTTCTAGGCTGACTCACCTGTTGATGCAGCTCATCTTCTGTTGGAGGTTTAGTTTCCGGTGTGGGTGTGTGGGTAGGACTGTGACTTCTAATATCATTTTGTAAACCATAGACAGACTATATTAAAATGAAAAATAAATGTTAAGACAAAATACCATTCATAGTCACAGATTTCTGGGAAAAAAATTTGCGTCACATCTTCAGTAAGGTAGCTCAAAACTTATTTAATGAAGCTTCTGTCAAAGTCCAAAAGGCACTGCTATCAAAAATAAAATTTAATAAGTAACATTTAATAAGTATTGATTCAATAATAAAATAGAGGTGGATATAAAATAAAATAGAAATTTAATAACTCATGAGAAGATAAAAATTACCTGATTTTCATGTAGGAATGAAATGGAACACTGACAAGAAGGACTATGTTGCAGATTCTGCTGCCTTGTTTTCTCATGGTATAATCAGACGACCCAGAGTGCCCTGACTTCCCATCTCAATACTGCCTACTTAGGTTATGATGTTAGTCTCGCCATTGGGTACATATGCAATATTAGTGAGGCTTCACACACCTCAAATTCTTGATGCTGCAATTCTTTTTTAAAATTAATTTTCCCAAAAGATCAGAGCTATTAATTAAAAAGATTCTTTTTAGGGAGAGACCCATTGCTTAGTAAGTATAAAGAAAGATATAGAGACTGAGGGATAAAAATTTCTCCCCAACTGTGTGAGTCACCCAACATGTTAGTTCAAGAGAGAATCCAAATGGCTTTTTAAAAAACAAAACAAAAAAATCAAAGTATTATTACTTTAAAACAAAGCATTAGATGTGTCCTGTAGTACTTCTTTGAACATGGAAATAAAAGATAAGGGCACAGTAAAAGTGCATGAGCACTGCAAAATTAACATTTCCAGATAGATTTGCAAAGAAATTGTCATTTAGATGAAGGTAGATTCAAATGCTTAATGGAGTCCATTCTCGGGCCCATCAACAAACTTGTGGGTATCTCTAAGTTCAAATGTGTTTTGTTCCTGACCTACTTTCACTTGGACCGAAACTGAATGTTCTGTCAACATTACTTCTTGGCTCTATAACCTAGACACTTTGGACTCGATGTTTTTTTCTGTTTATAGCTCCCATTATTGCTTGTTAGCCCTTTTAAAACACACTTTGACTTGGGTTTAATCATCTGGATCATCCACTTCCAGACTATTTTAGAAAGGCCCTTATAAATCTTTTCTCTTGTCCTAGCTCAAACCTATTTCCTGTCAATGACCATCCATTTTAATACAACATATGCTATTCATAGGACTGGGCTAAATGACTTGTCCTGCTCTTTTCTTTCATTTGTTTACTCATTCATTCAATCATTCAACACTTACTGACCACCTCTATATGCTGGATGTAGTGATAAGCATAAGGGTTATAGAAGCAAACAAAACACATATGCTTCCTCCTCCATTGGAGCTTACAATCCTGTACCAGGGAAACGAGTTGCCTAATCACACAAATAAGTATGATTAAAACTGTGATAAGTATTATAAAGAAAAAATTAAAAGACATAAGGCCTGGAATACCAGAGGTTACACATTGAAGAAGCAGAAAAAGCCTAAATAAACTGATACTAGTCATATTTGAACATGCTTAAACAGCTTTTTGAATTCTGAAATACCATTTGAGTTTGATTTCTTAAAAATTAGGCAAGTGAAAGACCACTAGTTATATAGTTGAACTTTGGGGTGCCTGTTATTTCTTCAGTTGTATCACATTAATTTTTGATAAGGAAAATAAGGTCTCTGAGATATAAACTTTCTATTCTTTTTACCATTATTATTTTTTCTTTTTACAGTACTAGTATTGCCTTATCACTAAGCTACAACCCATCCCCTTTTAAAAGTTTTTGTTTTGTTTTGTCTTGTTCTGTTTTATCTTGAGACATGGTCTTGCTAAGTTGCTGAGGAAGGTGGCCTCAAACTTGCAATCCCCCTGCATTGGCTTCTAGAGGAGCTGGGTTTACTGGCCTATGTCACCATGTCCAGACCTTGGTTCAAATATGTTAAAATTTTTAAAATAAGAATATACATGTCACATAAACAGCATTTATAAAACAAGATAGCTGAGAGTTTTAACAGTAAATTTTCTGGCTAATTTGAAAATTAATTAAAAAGACTGTTAGAAAAATACTTCAATTTGAGATGTCATAAAACTAAAAAGATCCATTAAGTTACATGCTATCTTTACATTTCCATTATTATTTCAAAATGCATGCATTTCATGTGAGCCTCATGAAGTTCATTGGGAGGTATTGCTTTAAGTCTTCCAGGAAACTCACTACTGGGTCTGAGCTTACTATGGAATTTCTAATTTTTGTCTAATGTACACATCAGAAACTTCCAATTTCATTAGTCAGAGTGCTGTTCCGGAGGTAGAGGAGTGAAGTTTTTGCAATGTCTTAATGTTTACAGATAGGAGAAAGTTAAATCAATAACTTGACATTCATTTTGAACTTTGTGAGCAAAATCAACTATTTAGTTGAGATGTTTTAACTTGATTAACACGTCCTTTTCTCCATGGTGTCTAGAACAGGCATTTTTCATATATAATGTTATAAAAATTATTCATTAAATGAAACAGATTGGACTCCATATGAATCTATTCATGTATGATTTCCTTTCACATTTTATAACTAAGAAAAATTCTCTTCTATTTTTTTCCTTTGTTGTGTGTGGAGGACTGCTATGGTCTGAATATTTGTGTTCCCCTCCCAATTTACATGTTGGAATCCTAATCCCCTAGGTGATGGTGTTTGGACGTGGAGCCTTTGGGATGTGAAGAGGCCATGAGAGTTCTGCCCTCAGGATTGGGATTAGTGCCCTTGCAAAAGAGGACTCAGGATGAAGGTGCCATATAGGAAACAGAGAGTCTTCTGCACTGGGGCTTTGCTTTTGAATTTCCCAGCCTCCAGGACCATTAGCAATAAATTTATGTTGTTTATAAATTTCCCAGTCTAAAATATTTTGGTACAGCAGTCTAGCAGTCCAAATGGACTTTTAAAATAGAGCTTTAAAGTGCAAAGTGCAAGAAGATTTTCTACCTATGTGGAATAAATCTCTAGTATTTTTCTTATTGGGGCTAGTGTGAGACTATTTTCTTTCCTTCTGGATTTTTCAACAGAAAACAGACGGTGACCTAGTCTGCCTCCAGGCAGAAGAAGCCAGTAGCGACAGCACACCAGAGCAAACCGACTAGAGAGAGGGCCTGAGAGCTCCTGTGCTCTCCAGTGGGCTCCTGGGTCCAGGCACAGCCAGCTCCAGCTCTGTTCCTGCCTACTCCCTAGGCTCCAGTCCACGAGCTGTGGTCAATAATATTAAATGCCACCAAAGTTTAGATGAAGCTGACAGGGGAGAAAAGACAAGAGGATACAGAACAAGCTGACTGTTGTTTTGGAAGATGAGTTCTGAAGCCACAGGAGGCAGTTCCAAAGTGTGCTTCAGTAACACATGCAGATGATTTTGTCATTTTCCTCTGGCTTTGTGTTCTTGGACCCTCCTAGCTATTGTCATATTGTCACAGGTCCTGCCTGTGGTGGTTAATTTTATGTGTCAACATGGCTGGGCCACTGTGCCAAGATACGTAGCCAAACATCGTTCTGGTTGTTTCTGTGAGGGCTTTTTGTGATTATGACTAACATCTAATTTAGTGAACTCTGAGTAAAGCAAATTGTCCTCCACAATGTGGGTGGGCCACATCAACCAGTTGAAGGCCTAAATAGAACAAAGACTGGCTTCCCATGAATAAGAAGAAATTCTACCTTTAGATTGCCTCTGGATTCCATCTGTAATGCTTCTCTGGCCTCTGCTCTCCTGCATCTAATTTTGGCCTCTCCAAGCCCAACATTTAAGTCAATTCCTTAAAAATTTTGTTCTCTCTTTGTACACACACACACACACACACACACACATCTCGTTAGTTCTATTTCTTTGGAGAAACGAATACACAACCCCGTAAAAATTTTCGTATCCAATCAAAGATCACCAGGCACACAGTGCCCCTTAAAACTTGCCTATATTCTTTCTCAGAGACTTGAGTAAATACCTCTTAACTATTTTGTTGGATTTCAGTAAAGCCCATTAAAATTAAGAAGTGATTGGGCTGGGGATGTGGCTCAAGTGGTAGCGTGCTCGCCTGGCATGCGTGCGGCCTGGGTTCAATCCTCAGCACCACATACAAACAAAGATGTTGTGTCCGCCAAAAACTAAGAAATAAACACTAAAAAATTCCCTCTCTCTCTCTCTCCTCTCTCTCTCAAAAAAACAAACAAACAAAAAAACAAATAAATAAAAAAGAAGTGAGATTTGAAAGCTGATCAATCTACTTCGGTTATAACATATAAGAAATATTATTACAGCTTATTCTCAAAGAAATGAACAGCAGCCCTCTTTGCTAAGGTAGTATCTATATTCAAAGATTAAACATGGTCCAGGGGTTCTACTTCCTTATCAGTGGGATATAAGACTAAGATCAATCACACAGCTAAGAGAAGGTGCAAAGGAGACAGCCCCATCAGGCACGGGCGACTTCCAGGGCAGTCGGCAGATTTCTGCCTTTATAATCACATGGTGCAGCCTGTTCAGCCTGGACAGAGCTGTTTCAGAGGGTGGTGAAATCATTATTCACCGATAAAAAGTTAGAATCACAAATCTTTATTTCTTTTATGTTATAGACTGGGCTGTGTTCTCCCAAACTCATATGTGTGATGTGAAGATAGGGCCTGTGGGAAGGTAATAAAGATTAAGTGAGGTCAGAGAGTGCCACAATAATCCAATAGAATTGGTGTCCTCGTAACAAGAGGAAGGGCTCTTGAGTACACAGCAAAAAAAAAAAAAAAAAAGAAAAAAAGTGGTTGATCTCAAGCCAGAAAGAGAACCTTTACCAGGGAATGAATTTTCTAGCACCTTGATCTTGGACTTCCTGTCTCTAGAGCTACAAAATAATAAATTCCTATTGTATAACCCATCCAGTCTGTGGTATTTTTGTTATGGCAGTCCCAGTAGACGAATACATAAAATATGTAACTATACCAAGGTTCAGACATTTGTCTGTCTACTTGTTCACAGTCTGCACCCTTATTAGACATGAGTTGTGGAAACAAGGCCCTGCCTGTCTGTTTTACTGTGAAATATCCAAAGAGCTGTATAAATTGGACACTTAGTGGAGAGTTGTTAATTTCTCTAATTGGTCCTTCCAGTTCCTAACCAAATATGGCCTAACACAGTATCTGCAAAAGCTATACAACCAAGTCTTCTCTTTACACGTTTGATAAACATGTCAGATTATCTCTACTGGGTGATAATTCAAGAATTCTAAAGGACAAGTAAGTATGTGGCTTAGAGTCCTCAAGCCTTCTGCATAAAATATCATCATTGTCTGTGAGGATTCTAGAAAATTCCACACTAATGTCCATAAAAAGCTTATACTGATCAAAAAAATGAGAAAATCAGTTTTCTCTAATTGTAGAAAACAATGGTATTTATGCTACTTGCTATTGGGTTTTTTCAGAACTTCTGTTTTTCTGTGATGAATTTTTGGGTTACACAGCTCTATAGTTAGGCCTTGCAATTCTACTACAAATGACTGACAGTGAATTAGACTGTGTCCTAGACAAATCAGTTAACACTTAAGGACTCCTCTTTACAGCACTTCAACTTGTGATGCCTCAAGTTTTTTTCCATCATTAAATGAGGACCAATGATATGTGAAGAGCAGCATTGTACAGGGATACTTTTCAAAGTTTCAAGAAACATGCCCATTAAGGCCCAGGTAAGAAACCGATACTGAATATAGGGCTATAAACAGTGGGCGAATGATCACTTTATCATGATGAAGTTCTGTCTTTTTAATCTTTATCTTTACTCTTCTGAATCAGAGCATGTCTGATTTGGTGGGAAAAAAACATGATACACAGAAAGGTTTTTAAAGGATCACTCCTCATAATTCAGGGAGAAGGTGGCTTATTGCATTTTTGTTTTTTAAATTCTTCTTTTGGGGCTGGGGATGTGGCTCAAGCGGTAGCGCGCTCGCCTGGCATACGTGCGGCTGGGTTCGATCCTCAGCACCACATACAAACAAAGATGTTGTGTCCGCCGATAACTAAAAAATAAATATTAAAAAAATTCTCTCTATCTCCCTCTCTCATTCTCTCTTTAAAAAAATAAAAACAAAATAAATTCTTCTTTTTGGTTGTAGATGAACACAATACCTTTCTTTTATTTATTTATATGGCGCAAAGGATGGAACTCAGTGCTCCATTCATGTAAGGCAGGCACTCTACCACTGAGCCACAATCCCAGCCCACTGATTGCATTTTTGAATTTTGTTCACTGAGCTAGTACCTGGCACACGGAGCATGGATACCAAGGATGAAAGAGCTGAGTCTAGAGCCAACTGCAATAGAGACAAGTAGCCAGGCTTTGCCTCTTTCTCTCAGATCCTTAGGGGCAAAATGTTTGAGTATCATGTCTAAATAGGGTGTGTATCACTTTCCCATGGCGTCCTTTTCCCTAACATCAAGGTAAACTGCCTCCAAAGAAAAAAAGGTACTTGTGCAACATTAGGACCTTTGAACACGATGTTGTACGTCTAGGGATGGAAGAAAAAGACTGCATGAAATAAGACTACAAAAATTAGTTTAATTTTAGTTTAGCCTATTGTAAGTGTACTTATTCTGGAAAATGCTACAGTTACATAAGGAAAATGTCACCAAAAAAGAGAGCCTTAACCTTTGGGGAATGCTTTTTTAAGGCCATGCCAACCTGTGGACTGTGTCCTCAGCATGCTTGTTGCAGACTAAAAGTTCTTATGTGTATTGAAATTTTTAATGGAATTAATAAAGATGTCTTCTGTGTGTAAGATTACTTTAAAACTATGCAGATATCACTGCTATGGGTTTTCAAAGGGCTGTTTATTTTGTCAGGTACTGGAGATTGAACCAAGGGGTGCTCTACCATATCCCCAATGCTTTTTATTTTAATTTGAAACAGGCTCTTGCTAAGTTGCCCAGGCTAACCTATGGAAGGCCACCATGTCATGTGACCAGCATTTTTCTCTCGTGATTGGTTCGAGGCATTGTCCATCACTTCCAGTGATCTGGCCACTTTCAAGTGGCTGTGACAGTATCCCGGATCTTGAGAATAGTAAAAATGTAACAAATGTGTCTTCATGCATAGGCATGCCTTCCTGCAGCCCCATGGGTCAAGCTACACTCACCCGTTCCTTTGTGATATAACCCCTTTGCCCTGTTTGGGATAGAATGTTCCATGGAAACTCCCTTTGTGTGTACCTTCTCTTGCTCTGCTTGTGGGTGTGGCCTTCCTAGATGTCAGTCAACCTGCTGACAGCAGACATTATAAAGCTAGACTCAGCCCCTTGAAACCTGACCCCTTACCTCATTTGAATGGCTTCTCCTCAATAAAAGGGGTCAGCCCGTGCTTGCGCACTCTCTCTCTCTCTCTTTCTGTGGACCCTTAAGGTCAGAGGAGACATCACAGCACCCTCAAAGAAAAAGATATCTCTGTCTCTTGTGTGGTTATTTTGTGCAGCCCAGTTCCCCTGGAATGACCTTGAGTGTTTTAGTCGCAAAGAATGCGACACTAACCTAGAACTTGTGATCCTCCTGCCTCAGCTTCTGGAGTAGCTAGGTTTACAGGCATGTTGTACTGTGCCCAGCTTCAAAGGGCTATTTAAAATGTCACTGAGTTCCAGATAGTTTTCCCCTTAGGCTTTCTCTCAGAACAAACACTGAAGCACTACTCTTAACTTATGGTTGTGTCACACAATGTGGATGCTAAAAAAAATCGTCCTTACACTTTTTTTCTAATTAGATATATTTTAGAGTCTCCCTTTCCTTAAACTTTTATCTACAAATGCCCTCACTATTTTCCCTTTTTCTCAGATAACCTCCAACTTCCTTTCCTAATCCTTTAGCAAGAGTGGAGGGGTCTGCAGTTTCCCTGACCCCTCCTGTCCGAGCCAGTCAGCACTGCTCTTCTACCTCAGGACACTGGGTGGACCATTTCCTAAGGAGAGAGGGATGGACTACCAGGAGGAGCAGGAAAGGTTCTGTGAAAGGGACAAAGGTGTTCTGTGGTCCCCAGGTACGAACAGTATAACTCATCAATCAATAGCTGCACAACAAACATTTTACCTTTCTTGTTTTGTGTGGGTTTCTCATTCTGGATGACTTCTTAATGTCCACTTCAGTAGTATTTACACATCCAGGCTGGAAATGGAAAAACAGAGAAACAAAGGAATCTTTGGGTGTGAATCTCTGGCTAGTACCTTCATTAGTGACTCGCTCTCCAGAACCTGAGCAAATGCCATAATGACCCCAGTCACCAGCAGCACTTCCTAGAAGGCCACAGCCTTTTCCATCAGCAGTGGACAGTAATGAAATACATAACACCTTTATATTTCTCTGATACCTTTCTCAATTCCTAGAGAAACCAGAAAATGTACTTAGGTTTTGCATGTAAAGTCGTTTACTGATATATTATAGCTGCTCTGTCTGTACAGACAGAGCAAGAGTATCCAGAGAGGAATGGGGTAATAACCCCTAATGATATATATCTACACACAAATTCCTGCAGAAACAGGCTTTCTTTATTGACTATAATACTACTTCTATTTATTTATTTGTTTGTTTATTGGTACTGAAGATTGAATGCAAAGGTGTTGTTACCACTGAGCCACATACCCAGCACTTTCTTAAAGGTTTTTTTTTTTTTTTTTTGAGACAATGTCTTGCTAAGTTACGTAGGGTCTCCCTAAATTGCTGAGGCTGGCCTTGAAATTGCAATCCTCCTGCTTCAGCCTCCCAAATTGGTGGAATTACAGGCGTGTGCCACCACACCTGTCAGAAAACGACACCACTACTTTTAGATAGCTGTTTGTTTTTCCTACGTTGGGAAACTAAAATTGTATTTAGTTGAGGAAGCACAAATCCCACGGTGTATTTTTTTTTTTTAAATGTATAACACAGAGTTTATAGCTAAAAAGAGGAAGATAAAGAAAGAAACTGGTAGTCAACTATGCTTCTTCTTTCCCAGGGAGGGGAATCCCTTTAAACAGGAGGGCTGCCTGCTGCTGGCTTTCTGATAGCCTGGGGAGTGTTATTTTGCTAGAATTGCTGGTGGGTCACACAGAAACAATTAGCTGTGAGCCCCCTTTGTACTTGAAGGAAGAGAGGAAAGGTAGGAGGGAAGGAGAGTGGGAGAGAGGGAGTGAGAGGGGGAAGGAAGGAGGAAGAGGAGAAGGAGAAAAGGGAAAGACAGACTATGAATGGGAAATATACCTCAAACTTTCCCCCCAAAACAATCTGGAAGCAGTAGGCAAAGGCTGAGGAATATGAATCAGAGAAGAAGGAGACTCAGAAACACATGGTATTGAGAGCTAGGAAGGACTTCAACCTTTAGAAGTAATTAGAAATGGATGATTTGCATGGATTGTGTTTCCATGCTTTCCGATTTTTGGCACAGGATTTAGGGATCTCTGGTATTAGTGAAAAAAATCAAGTTGTACATCTCCTCTCAACTATTTCTTCTCACAGGTTGCAAGAAAATTAAAAGCATGAGATGTTTGTGAAAATGAGTAGAAAGTGTTTTGTGGAGCTGGAATAGAGTTGGGGGGGAGGGCAAAGGGGCAGTGCTGGTATGATTAGAAGAATGAGCTGCTTTGTAGGATGAACACATGGAACATTTTCCTAAAAGAACTTTCTCCTTAAAGCATAGGCATCCTAAGAGAACTTCACCATTTTTTTTTTGTACCAGGGATTGAACCCGGGAACACTTCAACACTGAGCCACATCCCTAGCCCTTTTTATTTTTTATTTAGAGACACAATCTTGTTAAATTGCTTAGGACCTCACTAAATTGATGAAGTTGACATTGAATTTGTGGTCTTCTTGCCTCAGCCTCCTGAGTCACTTGGATTACAGGCATGCACCTCCATACTTGACAAAACACTTCTTAAATTATTTTCCACAAAGGTTACATGTAAACTATGGACACACACACACACACACACACACACACTATAGTATGAGTGTTAAATAAACTACAAGTTTGGTTTGCATATTTAATTAGGAATAAAAATAGCTGTTAAGCTTGGTGATCAGCTTGTTAGTATAAAGGCAGAGCACCAAGCTGGGAAGGGGCACTGACTTACTAAGTGGTAGTGAGCAATTCACTTCCAGCATCAAGCTGATCAGTACCTGATATTCTCAACCTTTCTGTGTCCTATCTAGGCATTAGTTTTATTTTTAAAGGACCCCAGTGATTTTAATATGCAGTCAGAGTTCACAACCACTGATCCAGAGGTAACAAAGATAATGTTTTAAAAATATTAAAGCATTCTGTTTTCATTTCCCTGTTCAATTTCTATTTTATTGCAGTCTTCCTTCCCTAACCTGACCCATTAGGGAAGTGAAGACACTGGAATGCTTCATTCTCCTATTGATATGTCAATACCAATGTATCAAGAGCCAAGCTTGACAAGATAGGTCATACAGATCTTCCTCTTTGTGTTGAAGGGTGGGAATGACTAGTATGTGATATTTAAGAAAAGGAAGACATGTCCCTTTGTAAGGTGGAAGGAAAGAAACAATGTTTCTTTTTTTTTTTAAGTTTGCTGAGAGTTTTATTATGAACCTACTCAAAATTTATCACATGCATCTTTTTGGCATCTCTTGAAAGAATCATTTATTTTTTCCCCTTTATTCCCTTAACGTGGTGAATTGCATCAGTTCATTTTTTATTATTAGTTGTTCGAAACATTACAAAGTTCTTGACATATCATATTTCATACATTTGATTCAAGTGGATTATGAACTCCCATTTTTACCCCGTATACAGATTGCAGAATCACATGGGTTACACATCCACGTTTTTACATACTGCCATACTAGTGTATGTTGTATTCTGCTGCCTTCCTATCCCCTTCCTATCTCCCCTCCCTTCCCCTCCCCTCTCTTGTTTCTTGTATGTAGATTTGCTGCAAGTATCCGTAGCTAAGATCACATAAGTTCTGAGAAGACTAGTAGGTGATTGGAAGCCTGAGGTTAAAACAAAGACTGCAGATGTGCAGGGATTTCAGGCTGAGAGAAAATGTCTGAAGACAAACCCCAATAGTGAAGGCCAGGGAATGGTACTGTATAGCAGTCCTGGGGGCAGACCACCATTCCAACCTGTCTAAAGCAGAAATAACTAGGATCAAGAAAATGTTCTGTGGATATCTGGCTCTCATTCCCCACTGCACAGATCATATAAACAAAACCTCAATACCTGAAGCTCCACTCCCAAACCACTCTTAGCTGCCAAGAAAGTCTGAGGAAGACAGTAAATGTGATCATCCAAAAGTGACTGAGTTATCTAAACTGATGATATAAATTATGGCAGCACATAGAGAATGCTCATTGAAACTTATCCTTCAAACAGGTTTCTGAGAAGGAAAATAGATCAATTATAGACAGCATAAGATTGTGTGTGTGTGTGTGTGTGTATGTTATATTTTTACTTATTTGAGGACTCTGAATTAATTGAATTTTAAAATTCTTCCCATAAAAAGCTAGGATTCTAAACCAATTTGACTTCAAATTAAATGGGATAGTTAACAAATGGCATAATAAATTTCACCAACTACTGAAGGCATAAAGTAGAATTTTCCTTCAATATCTGACTTGCAGCCCAAAAGAGAATTAACATTTTTATCTCTAAACTTCAAAAACTATGGCTTTTTAAATTTGATTAATAAATCATTAACAGCTATCTAAAATTCCTACTTGTGTCAATTATTAACAATAGTCATAAGCTAATTGACTGTAAGAGCAAACATCACAGACTGAACCATTAGATTTGTCTTATAACCCAGCTTCCATCCCTGAAAAATCACATTTGCCAGTTCAAAATTGATCATTAATATCTAAATGGTTAAAATAATATAACTGATAAGCTGGACCTGAGGTGCCAGTCTCAGTGTCCTCAAGTTTTCTGTCATTTCTAAAGAGCCTCTTGAGACAGCAAATGGTTTAGCAGATCTATGGTATCTAATTTATCTAGGGGATTCTTAAAAATTAAAAAAAAAAAAAAACGTAGATGGCTGGATGTAGTGGTCCCCTGTAATCCCTGCATTTTGGGAAGCTGAAGCAGGAGGATCACAAATTTGAAAGGGCTGAGGTTGAAACCAAGTGGTAAAGCTCTTTCCAAGCCATATTCGAGGCCCTGATTCAATCCCCAGCATCGCAAACAAATAAACAGAAAAAAAAAAAAACAACAATAACAACAAAAACGTAGATGTCCAAGTTTGTCTAATATTTTTCTGAATAATTAAGACTTAGCACTGATAACTTCTGAATAACTTCTTTCGAAAGTCAGGCACTGAGCCAGGTGCTGTGGTGCATGCCTATAATCCCAGCAGCTCAGGAGGCTGAGGCAGGAGGATCACAAATTCAAAGCCAGCCTCAGCAAAAGCAAGGCCCTAAGCAACTCACTGAGACTCTGTCTCTAAATAAAATACAAAATAAGGCTAGGGATGTGGCTCAGTATTAGAGTACACCTGAGTTCAATCCCTGGTACCCCCTCCCATCCCCGAAAAAAGTGTCAGGCACTATGGTGAATGAAATATTGGCAATGATTATTTTTTGGCATTCTTTTATTATTCAAGGAATATTTCTTTATGCTTTAATTAATTAATTGTCAGATCTTATGATGCATGATGATATACAGAAATGAAGGCATGATTCATATTTCAATAATCTCCTAATACAACAAGACCAACAGACACAAAATGGGAACAGAGCAACTAGGTAGAAGTTGACACAGGACATTATATGATAGAAAGTTTCAGACATCCATTCTCACTGTAGGTTCTTCCCAATAGAGAAGATAAATACGTTTCAAAATTTTATCTTAAGCAATTATTCTTTATCCCAACAAGACCATTCTGTTATTTGTTATTGAAAAAAAAAAAGCAGTTATCTTTTTAAAGCATATATAATAGGTGCCACTAGCTGGCACCAGATTCACATAAAATGTTATGCATAAATTGGTTTTCTACAGAACTAGATATATCTTCTCAATAAGATATAAATAACGTTGCCATTATTAAGTAAGCGCTCCATAAAATTGTTCAAAAATGTACTATTTTCTGGAAACAGTATTAAGTACATAATATTGCTGGACTTAAGGAATAATAAAATGTTATTTACATTGGCCCAGAATAGAATCA